TCTCTCTCTCTCTCTCCTCCTCTCTCTCTCCCCCTTTCTCTTTCTCCTTTCCTCTCTATGTTGCTACCACATGCGAAATTTCAATATGCATCGTTTGACAGATGTGGCGCCTGGATTTTAAATGCAAATATAAATCTCCCCATAGTCCGTAACGGATTGGTAGAGTAAAGAGCGTAAAGCATATAGTTGTGTGTAGTAACTAAAGGAAAATGGAAAGAAATTTTAGATTGTACGAATTGTCACTTTATACGAGATCGAAATATGTAAATATACGATAACAAGCAATTGCTCTGCTACCTGTTGTATTTATATTCACTTAGATTTTACACAATGGGCTAGATATTTTGCATGTAGACTTGTAAATGATCAAATTATGCAAATAATATTCAAATAACTATATTAATTTCTCTATATAGAACAATTACTCCATGTTTAATTAATATCCTTACAATCTGTGTTTTCTGGAGAGCTCAACTGAATATCGTTCCATACTTCTGCTTATAAATACGTACATGTAATTATCGTAAATTTACATTTTATTTCACCATATTAATTGATTCATCTTACGGACGTATATTTAACTTATGTATTATTCGCAACGAATGTGAAATATCCGCTGGAAAAAACATGAAACGCACATTTGTTACTGATAGTGCATTCAATAGCGATGGTGCAAATCTGGAGTTGCAGGAGAATTATATCATTCAGAACATTCTTGTCCGTCAATAAACGTGCGAGACGAAGTTTGAAAGGCATTGTTCGATACGACGTCCACAAACGACAATATAGCAACTTTGTTTAATTATATTATTTCGAATCGCATCATCGTGAACGGGAAACGTGCCGCGAACTTTTTATAGCACGAGGGTGCTTCACGTTTCATTTATTTAAAGCCAAGCAGAGGCGAGCTCCCAATATTTCCGCTTTCCATTCCGTATGCGATGGTCGGATTAATTTCTCATAAATCGCCTGCGGTTTTCGTTGATTGGGTCACGGTTTCATTTGTGCCTCGCTCCAGGACACACCGTTTCCGATCTGAAGTAATTAAGTGTCGCGATCGGCACGTAGCTCAATATCGAATATCTCGTCCACGTCCGCTTTTATGGACATACAATATCATATTGACATTGTCGAGGAAACCATCCACTGGACGTGTGACATATTACGATATCATTTTGACAAAGTTGCTCTCTCTCTGAAGTAGGGTATAAATCAATGAAGATATATCTTTTCTAGAATACTTATCACGCATAATTTAAATAAAGATTTTTTTAACATAAATTTAAATATATGACCACATGTTGATATAATAAAAGTTAAACATAGTAACATATTTTAAAATATGAAATTATAATTATCTAAACTTTTTGTAAAGTATACATTTTTTTCATTTATACATAGAACGTGATATTTTATCTTTGTCTAATAAAATGTAATTATTGTCGAATATATTGCAAACATTATATTGGTGTATTTTATATGATAGGACATGCAACTTAATAATAATTACATAATTATCGTACCATTTATGACAACAGTAAGATGAGAGAAAAATATTATGTTCGTTCTCTTAAAATATTCTATACTTTGTTCGATAAGTCATTGAAACGGACTATAGTTTGTTAGGGATAAAACCTCGTAGTCTCTGGACGCAATTTTCTCAGCCATCGACGAAGGTCTTTCCACTACATTATCGTTAACAATGAAGCTATGCTCCATAGGGTGTTCGTGCTTAGAATGAACATTATGGAAAAAATGAGAAATGAACCTGTCAGATACTTATAATCGTTTCTTTTCAGTGTCATGTTCTTGTTATTAAGCATTTTTATAAAAATATATTTTAACTACAATGTAAGTCAATGTAAATCTATTTATTTATTCTTATAATTAACAAATTTATAATGCTGCATATTATTTTAATTTCATAATGATATAAATATTTGATATTCGCATGCAAAAGTTGTTTTGCAATAATTAAACTTGTGAAAGTGAATTTATTTAATATCTTATTTTATTTATTAATCTTAATTATTAATTAATCATTTGTTTTAAGTGCAATCGGTAGCTTTCTACAATTAAGTTAACAGCGATAAATTTAATTAAAATCACGTCTGTTGTGTTAAACAATAGGGAGGGATATAACAACTACCGGAAATATCGCTGATTATCATCACATTTTAGAAGCATAGCGCATTTTCTCCATGAATGTGCTAAAATCGTTTGATCATCGCATGTGAAATCGCTTGGCATAAATATTTTCTGTCCAATGCATTTCCATTTCATATAAAGAATTGTACAAACGTCCAATTTCCGAAACATTTAGCTAAATTACCGTAAAATGCAGAGTCACGCGCAGCGAGCGCCGAAAGTATACGTTTGCATGAAAATAATTTTGAAATACGATCTCATTTAAACTTTATCGTTTAAATTTACTTATTTGCCTATCATTAAATTATGCTGATTCGAATAATTTGAAAACCGAAGCGTGGTGCGCGCATCGAGATAAACATTTATTGGCTCATTAATTAGCGTGGAAAGATTGTAAAACTTTTATTGGACATAAAGAGATTATTTCATAAATGAGCAACTTCTACTTGAACAAAATAAATACGTCTGATCGCGCAAGCTAAAATAAGAATAAAAATTCTAGATGACATCTAGAATGAAGATTAACATAAAAGTCGATGGAATGATTGCTGCTACTGGAATGGAAATGCGTTGAATTATTCTCTTCCTCGCACTCTTTTTTCCCTATCGGACATATAAATTTAGAGAAAAGCTCTGTACGGGGGATAATGCCATGGACGCGATAACGTCGTCGTCCCCGCGTTAAGCGCTCGACGAACTGATAAATCGAGAATTTACCGATGCTACCTGCATTCATGTAGGTCTGACTGACGAAACGCAACGCGTACGTTCGCGCAAATATTTCTTTTTTTTCTTTCTATTTCATGATAAACATGAAATAGAAATGATTGTTTTGTGTCGCCAGTTTCGTCGGCGATCGTGAGTCGCAACGATGCATCCCCACGGTCGTGACGAACAACCCGCTGTGGTCGAGATCTTTTTCGCCTAACCTGTAACAACAGCCCGGATGCGTTAGAATGCGAAAAGAAATGCGCGTGTGCCACAATAATTTTGAATCAACCTTCGCCACTATCGTTTCCACGAGGCAGAATGCGATATTACACCGACGTTCCGACTGGTGCGCGATCGCTCCCGGCACCGACGCTCTCTATCTTCCGCTGTAAATAGCGATTTTATAATTCATGGAACGCCGTGTTTCACCCGGTTCTATCGGTGAACCACCGAACGGCCGATATGACCGGTGGTAGCCGCGCGTTACCACCTCGTTACAACCACAGTTGAGTTAGAGTTTATTTCACGCGAATGTCCGTCCGAGATACAAGGCTCGCGGTTGGCTTTAACAATGTTCACCGCAAAACTTTAATTCTGCAGAACTTTAATCTCTAAATCCGCCAGCAAAATCATAAGTGATATTTGCGCGGCTATATATAGTGGTATATAGATATCTACATTGTAAAGCAAATGGATGATCTTCATTTTTACTCGTAGCGACATAGAGGCGAAATGCAAAGTGTTATTTCAATATCAAAAAATAAAATTGTCGAAATTGTTTGAACCGATTTTAATGGGTGCTAAAAAAGTCAATATCACAGCTTTTCGAATTTTCGTGACAATTCTTCGTTAGCCGATATCTTATTTTAGCTACCATTTTTATTTTGATATTATTTAAAATGAAATTGGTCATGTTGCTGCAACTGCATGTTGTAGCAGTAACACACGACTATCTCCCAGCAGGACATACGATCGATCACGAGCGATTTCAAACTGATCCGATGTGCTCGGAGACACGTGAGATTGCTAAGTCACGTTGCGATTACAGTCAGTTCGGACCAGCCGAACGTCAACGTTGTCGCTGGCGCGGGTCGATATCAGCATCGATACTGGATGAGGGGTGAAGCTATTAGATATACATAGGCACGCGATTCGATTAACCGGTACGAAAACGCTAGTATTGTCATTGCTTCGAACCTGCTCTAACTGCGTCCGCGTAAATGTTACGGCCTTGATAACGATCAGGATTATTCGGGTGACTGAATGTGCAGCCGGGACAATACAGCGTTCACTTTGTGACACCACAAGATTCATTCGCTTGCGAACGAGAGCATTAGCTGTTGCGTTACAATTATGTGATATTATGTTTATGACGCACGACGAATCAAAGCCATATTTTTCTTCATAAATGATAAACCCGTGAGATTTACAGCGCGATCATTTTCTATATAAAAAAAAAGTGAAAAAATATGAAAATTTCATATGCGTTCTTTCACGTGTAAAAGAATTTTTAAACCGTTAATATCTTGGTAGCGAAGCTATAACGAGAGTAATTTGTAACTGGTTAATGCATAAATTATTTTTTTATATGTAAATGATTATAATTAAGAGTACATTATGAAATTATCAAGTGTAAAATATGGTAGTCGAGTTCACAAGTCAAATACACATATATGTATGAGGTCGTGAACTTTTGTATCATTCTCGTCTATCAACTTCCCGTATTCCCCTCTTTTACGCTTCGTAAATATGATACTCAGGCGTAAGCAGTAGGGATGAACTTGGAGCGCCAGTGATGTGTAAAAAAGGATATGTCACTTACGAATTTATTTTATAGAGGGTGCAAAAGCGGATGGTGAATGGTGACATTGACACTACACTGACGCGAAAAAAACATGCCGATGAATGTAAAACGTGCGGAGGGAATTTTAAAGAAGAAATAAATCCAGCAATTATCGATTGTTAATACACATGCGAGACAGACATCTGAAAGGAATGCCTTTGCTCACAAAAGTATTTCGAAGCTTTACAACAATAATTTCACACAACAATGAAAGCAAAGGAATATGAGTTATGTAAACGTGCCAGCGAAATTTTATTTTCCTCTTTGTTTCAGATGGCATTTAATGTTACGAGCAAAACGAGGAGGCTTCATCTATCGCGGGGATTTGTACATTCGTGCGTGGGAATTACAAAGCGAGTCTCGTCAAAGGGCTCATCAACATCAACGGAATCTTTGTATATCGGTTAGTAGTTCTGGCCATACAAGTATCGCGTGTGTAGCGGCAAAGTTCTGCCGTTTCTCTTACTGTTATCTTCGCTATCTTCGTGCAATAGCCTTTGTCTGTTTATCAAAGTGGATAATCTTAAAAGTTATTACTGGCACGATATGATATGCGATTCTAGTCTTCTCCACTACTGTTTCTTTAGTTTCTATATCGGAAGACTGATTAAGATTCTTCGGTCATGTCGTATCCCCATAATTTTAATTAAACAGATGTAGTTCCACTTACTCTCTTTTTCTTTGTTCCTCATCTTTCATTCTGGTCTCATTTCAACTTAGTTTTTTTAGGTACGACTTGTTCTGCTCATTAAAGATTTAAGCACTTGCACATTTAGCTACATATTATCCTCTTACAATTTTATCTAGATTAAGTCGCTTCTGTGATCATCATGTGCACACTGATTATAATGGTAAAGATTTTTTGCTAGAACCTTTACGATGGCAATGGCTTCGAAAATAGCATCTTTTTCTCAAGTTATGTTTAAAAAGAAAGATACATTTTTTTCTTCCATTCAAAGAATTTATATATGCAAAAGAATATGATAATACGAAATAGATAATTTTGATATAAATCAGCGCGGTATAATAGAATTTGAAATGTTGTGTGAGATGTACGCGCAAAAGTAGCGTCAGCCGTCATAACGTGAAAACATGAAACATGTGGAGCAAGTAAAAGTTACCATAACTACATAGTTCTGAAATTTCATTTAGCCTAATTAGAGTTTTCTCTATTTAAATTGATATCCAGTGTTAATATTCTGAGCTATTCAAAGGCGGTGATACTAATTAACCAGTGCTCTTTATCACTGTGTGTACTATTTAATTTTTAACTTTTGCAGCTATATATTCCTACATGAATATGTAACAACATTTGATATTAATTTTGCATGTCGATAACGCTCGTCGAAAAGCACTTCGTATTCGTTGCAAGTACGTTGGAAGTGAGTTATCGCGCGCAGGAGTTGCCGTTCGTATATATACACGCTGCTGCGCCGCGGTAATCCGTAAATCACGGGGAGATCGCAAATTTCGCTGGAGTATCGGCGATTGTCTGTTGTAGGAGAACGGATGTTCGAGGCCGCGCGTGGCCAGCGTGTCGGTGCAGCTCGAACAAGACAGCAACAAGTCGGAACAGCTGCAACGGGCGCCGCGTTGTAACGTGCGCGCTTGCAGACAGCCAAGAAAAGGGAAGGCACGCGTGACCGCGCCCACCCTGCTCGTGCAAAATTTCCTGGAGACGCTTTAGTCCGCCCCAATCGGGGAACGGGTCTACCTCCTGCTCGTTCACCAGCTGAAAACGAGTCGCGGAAGGTGAAGAGAGGAGCGGCGATGCTCCGACCGCGTAGCAGCCTCGTCCGACGATCGTCAGTGACGAAGAGAGTCCTATTATAGTGGAATGCCTGAATATTTTTCGTATGCCGTGTTTGTGTGCGCTATCCTCCGCAAGCTCGATCTCGTCGCGGATCAATCACGATAACGAAATGGAAAAAAAAAAAGAAAAGGTACGCATGTATCGTTATCGTTTATATACATATATATGTGTCCTCGCGTTTTTCGTGGCATCCTGTTTATCCTGTCGATCGGACAGCGACGATGCGAGTCGCGATCTCTTCGAAAATAATGTCGCAAACGAAAAAGAAGAAAAAAAAATAACAGAAAAAAAAAGCAAACAGATGCCTGCTCCGTAGATAACTTTGGCTTGGAACGTGATTGTGAAAACGTTCTGAAATCGTTCACGCTAGGACAAATGACAATGTGCGCTGATGATGAGAATCGAATGCTAGAATTAAATTTCTTGAAAATTATTTTGCCACTTTTAAATTCATCATAAGAATACTTAACGAGAGAGGACCAAGGGAGATTCGAGCGATTAACATGCGACGAACGATTATGCGAATTTTCTCGCGTATTGATTAAATGCATAATCAAATGTGACATAAAACCGTGTGCGTTCAAGCGTGTATCTATCTATACTTTTGAAACATGATAATTGTAATTGGTAATATAGTTACATGTAGAATGACGTGTTTCTATAAATATTTGCTGTATCTCATGTGTGCTTTCAACGTTTTTATGATATCCGTTTTGATAAAGGGATAAAACTGCCATTATACATGTAATAGAAATACATGTCAAAAATACAAGGTGTTTCAACAAATAATATCACAATAAAAATTGAGGATTCGTGAAAAATATTATGGCAAAAAAATTTCGATGGGCAAAGCGAAACGTATAGTCGTTTCAAAAATATTTTATATGAATGGATATCATCATATTAAGAATAAATCGATCTTCTTAAAGAGTCAACTTGTAAACATTTATAATTTTTATTGCCAAAAAATATATACACATACACATATACATGTACATTCAAGATACACACTATATTTTTTCTGTCATTTATACGATGAGGTTGAAATTTATACACGAAAAAATAAAATCATGACGTCGAATTTTATCTTTTTCATGGCAATGATAGTATGAGATAGTATGAGGTAAATATGGAAAGACTTTCTCGAATCATACTTTGTGTTCCTCTCTCGTAGACACGCAATTTTACGCACGTACATACACGGTGCCAATACTAGGGTAATGAATGTGCCGCTAATCTGCGGCGTTTGGTATGGCTTTTGTATGAAAATATAAAAAAAAACAAACAATTTTAAAGAAATACATTCTTCGATGAGCTTGGTATGGCAACGTTCCGTTGCAAGTATATCGCAAAGAAGACTTTTGCAAAAGTTTTCAATGTATATGAATTCATTATAAAAAATTCAATTTAATTATGTAGTATTTAACATTAGGTACATATTATTTTAAAACTTATATCAACACAATGATCATCAATAATATCGAAATTGTCAATTATGTAAATTATTTAAATTAAATGAATTATTAGTGATAATGTTTATATAGTTTATAAAATTAAATCAATTATTTCGCAATTAATAATTCATTATATAACTATTTAGTAAAATAAATAAAATATTAATTTATTGATATTAACACAATGTGTGATGGATTTTAGCAATTTGTATGTCACTTTACGAATACTTGCAAAACTTTGCCAAAACTTAATAGAAGACCAATGTATATATATGTATACAGAAAAGAAATGTTACATCGAAAGTTTTGTCGATGCTTATTAAACTTCTCTACTATAAATTACTGTCATGTAATATCGTTATAACAAACTCGAATAAATAAATTTTGGCCATCCGGTTACAACGGCCTGTGGTATTTCGCAGAATCACTGTGGATAATGGAAAAAAATGCAACGAAACGAGTATAAGATCTAAATTATAATGATATATGGAAATGATAATACATATGTATTAAGTTATATTTTCAGTTACTATATCTTTCTATTTCTTGTTATTCGTAGCTGAAATTTTTATTTCAGTATTTAAATGATAAACATTGCATAAAACTTATCAAATTTCCTGTGTTAATTGGCATTTTATAACATCAGTTGTCATTAGTTATTAATATACAAAAATACATGGATTATACTTATTATTTATACTTATTATAATATTTTTAAATTGAATGTAAAAAAGAAAAAAAATAAATTCTCGTTTATGTTATTCTATGTCTTGTATTAAAAATCAAATTTAAATTGAAAAATAATTTATTTAACAAAAATATTAACATAATGTATAAATACGTTAATCGGCCAACGTCAATCAGAGTTGCATCAATTTTGCGCAAGCATAATACTATCATTACAACTAAGGTATGAGGAATCAAATTTTTCCTCGTAAAAATTGTATGGATGAAGCTATTAAAATAGGAAGTCATAGGAGAGTTGCTCATTAGCTAAAGTAAGAAATAAAAATACTTGGAGGCTAATACGTTTAATACGAGGTATGGAAGTGAGCTGAGTATTCTATTTTTCGTACATTTAAGCCTTAGGCGTTTCTCCAATTTTAACGGAAAATAAGCATTTACCACCAGCATTTCATTATGAATTCCATGAGATAGCATAGTTGCATATATAAAAATTATATTATCTGTGACAGATACGTCTATTCTGCTATATTAGTGACGAGAATTTTGTGATATTACGTAATTGTAATTAAGCGTCGGAAAGATTCGACAGTTAAAAATAATTTGCAATTCATATAGCTGCAGGAATTGAGCCCCGTACTTTTCATATAAGTAAATGTTAGCAAATATAATTCAATATATATTATGATATATTTTGTTTCTATTATATATGGGAATCCTTTCTCCTTATCAGGACGGTTGGCCGATCGACAAATCTAACCATCGGTTGGTCTTATCATCACACGAACGGAATTAACGGGTAGAATATTTCGCTAAGAGGTTACTGTTATCGATCCGTTCAATCCGCACAGACGAAAACGGGAGCGGGAACGTTTAAGAAAACGAGATACAAAAAATGTAAAATTCGCAGTATTGGTGCGGAAGTTTGATATCAGAAATTGAACGTGGGGCCGTGTATAATTAGCCGCAATTTGATTAGTCTAGGTTACTACTCGATAGACCAGTTTGTATATCTAATTACGATACGTTATTACTCATACTCATTGTGAATAATACAGCAATTATAAATTATCATAATAAAGTGTATGTTTATATACATATACCTACGTATGTTTGATTTATGTGCTGGTATCCGACAATATTGGCGATTCCAGACTACCTATACCTAATCAATTATCCAGTTTTCCCCCGTTTAATTATGGTCGTCCGGCCAAAATTGCGGTCTCGTCCGACCAGGCTACGGTAAATTTACAGATCGCCCTTCCTCCCACAAACATGGCAAGAATAGATCGACAAACTTTAGCCGGAACTAGCGTGATAGCACGGCCATAATTTTCATTAAGTACGTAACGTGTATTTACTATTGCAATCGTTGTAATGTAGATATTACGGATATGCACTCACCGAAAAGATCGTTTATTTAACATCGTTAACGAGGCGTGTTTGCTTATATTGAGAGAATCGCAAAATTGCATTCGTGCAAATATTCCAATTTAAATGAATTTCATTTGATTTGCGTGAAATACATTTTTTATTTTCGTAATAAATTTATCTGTGCGCGCATAAACAACAGACACATACACACACATTCTCACATATACCAGCGAAATGCGAGACGGAGGAACGACGAAATAAATAATCGTGCGCGATTCTTTTCATTTTGCGAGCGAATACATGCATGCGCATAGCTAGCACACACCTGAGCAAACCAAGCCGTGCGCAGGTGGTTTTGAAGAGTCGCTGGCATTATGTTCGGCTCACAATGAGCGCGTACTAACACTCTCACTCTATAGTCGGCAACGCCTGGAAATAATGGAGCCTACCGCAATGTAGAATTTCGGTGCCCCGGTAAGTATCGTGTAATTTTAACGGTAATTGCCGGCGGTTTAAGCGCGCCACAATTGAAATAACCCTTATACCACCACTATCATAAAATGTCGACATAAGAGGTGTGAGGGTAAGGATGGGAATTTTGAATTTTATAGTGTTACGTCGCAGACTATTTTTGTCCGCGATTCGCCATTTACCAGGAAACGTTATTTACATAATAACAACTTTGAACTATCAGAACAATTTTCTTAAGCCGAGGAACTTCCTATGCGACCTCGGTCTCGAAGATTTTCTAAAAAGGGTTGTACGCTGCATTCCAGTCACGTAGAGCTAGCAAATTGCTTCTCACCGAGATCTTTGAACTTGTGCAAAATTCTTCTTTTATCATAACGTCCTTCCGTACCATTAAAAGCGCTGGAGAGGCACGCGCTCATTCTATGGTCAGCGATAGCTATTTCTCTTCTGCACTTTAAGTTTGCTCAATTGACTGTTACGGCTCTATATCTCATGTCTCCGTAACAAGAAAGCGAAAGCATTTACAGATGGATTGCGCGCTAAGTCGCGCGGTTTGTGATTTACATCGCGCGAAAATCGGCTATCACGTTTTCGATAGGCGGATTTGCCGATAATGGCAGATGGATCTGCATGATCCGGGAACCAAGTAGGAATACGAATCCGGACATTATCCTGGCGCATCGTGACGGCTCGCTAACGTAGAATGGATGCATGTACGTCCCGCTTGCATCGAGTGCAGCTACGCGATCTGTATTCGCCGAACGTCCCGGGATACGAGGGTCACGCCTTTCTCGTGCCTAATGACCCTTAACCCCTGCCTTGAAGCACGGGATCTTTTAAAGGTTGACATGTACCGCCTGGGGATATGCAGCCGACAGCTAACATCGTGATATCCGATTTGTGTATTATTACAAAAGACAATAGCCATCGGCTCAATGGACGAATGATGTCGGATATTATAATCTTGATTCATCCTGTATATTCATGTCAACCATTAACATCATCGATACTCCCCCCAGATCATCGGCGAAGCTGATCAAATCATTTTCGCGATGTACGCTCGCATTATTTACGCGCGGGTTCGCGCGAAATCCTTGACCAACCTCGTCGATCTATTATCTTCGTGTAAAGCGGATTTACGTACGAATACAATCGGCCGGTTAAATTAACGACCCTGTACTTTCCATCCCGCCACATACATAGCCGTGATGCATCGTCGTTACGATAAAATTCTCCCGGGAGGCATGGGCGCTGGAATAAAGCGCCGCGATATTAAATCGCGACTGCGTCCGAGCATTTATTTCTATCTAGCCCCGTGAAATGTTCGTAGGTCGCGACGTTAGATTCACGAAGGGACGAGTCCATGTTGAAGCGAAGAGAAGAAAATCAATGTTGCCAAGATCGAGAGGAAAACGAACGCTGATACACGTGTGTACTTCGTGCCTGTGCGCCAAGTTATTTTCTTTTATTATCGTAACATTCCTACGTGTATCGAATACGCACATTGTTTGTCGGCCACTATGCCTTTCGGGGTATTTTATTCGTTCGACGCCGTTTTATCCCCATAGCCGGTCGATAAGATGGACGAGAGGGTGATCAACCCAAACGACGACGCTTTCCTTTCTGTCGCGATGAAAGTCGGGTGATAGCGTCTTGAAAAGTATACGGCAAGAATTTTCAATGGCACGAATGGATGCGAATGGACTGCGTATTGCAAAGAGTAAAAAGATCCGCTCGGAGATGTCTTATAAATCGATATTTCGATGAGCCGATGCGGCGCGCAGAAATATTTCGTGCGTGAGTGTAAAATAATATGCAATTGTAATTGCGAGGTAAAATTTATTATTTTGTTACACAACTCTCCCAACGAAATTTACGATATGCAAATCTATTTCCGATATTAATGTCGAATGCATACCGCTGTGCTATAAATAAATTTTTAGGCTGTTGTAACTGTGTTCCGTAAACGATCGATTCATTGCTCCGTTCTTCCGTTCGCATCAGCAGATTTATGTAACAGAAAATCATGCAATTTTGACGTATAATTGTTCGTAGAATTCCACGTGGGAATCAATTCGTCGACTTATATGCAAAAATCTGATTAAATCATCAACAATATTTTTATTGTACGCTTTCGGTACGTTTTCTAGTTTGTACGCATCGTATCAAAATGTCGATTTGGAAAACGAAACTATTTTGGCAGATACAACGAGGGCTCAGCTCGCTCGAGGAAAGGACGTTTTATATTCTATCTACGAGTGTATCTGTGCACCGATTGCAGACGGGGA